GCCGACCAGCGTATGAAACAACTCCAGAGCGAATTGGACAAGAAGATGGCGCATATCAACTTTAATCCTGTTGTTGGCATGATGGCATGTGCTCGTATCGATGGCATGTGCTCGTATCGATGGCATGTGCTCGTATCTTCCCGCATGGGAAGCACGACACCCAACTCTCTGAACCAATACTTATTGTAGGCGTGGATTATTCTAGAAATGAGGTTTAGCTGCAACAAGGGAATCAGGTGATCAGAAGGAATTTCAATCAAATCCGACTGTTGCCAATAATTCACTCTGAGGCAATTTCGAACGAAACCCTGCGAGAAACCGACTCATTTTATAAAACAGAAGCAGAGACTGCCCCTCACATTCACACGCTTGACGAAGAGGTCCCAATTTCAGATGCTGACCTGACACAACTTCCTTCAGAACGGGCCAATTTCAGATACTGACCCGACACGGCTTCCTCCAGACCCTCCAGAACGTTCCGACCTATCACGACCTGCGATTACGGAATATACTCAGAATCGAAAGAAACATGAACGTCTCATCCATTCCCCCCCATTGCTGTCTCCCAAACCAAAGAAGAAACGTGTGGACGTGCCATGGCGGTGCGGTACACATACCAAATGTGAGCTACACACGGGTGTGGACAGACTCAATGTGTGCGTAGCGCTGGTGGGTAGCACGTGTGCGCAGCGCTGGCGGGTAGCACGTGTGCGCAGCGCTGGTGGGTAGCACGTGTGCGCAGCGCTGGTGGGTAGCACGTGTGCGTAGCGCTGGTGGGTAGCACGTGTGCGCAGCGCTGGTGGGTAGCACGTGTGCGTAGCGCTGGTGGGTAGCACGTGTGCGTAGCGCTGGTGGGCAGCACAGGTGCGTAGCGCGGAGGGGAGCACGGGCGCGGAGGGGACCAATGCCTGCAGAGACAAGATTGACAACGGCACACTGTCTCCGGCAACGGCAAAGCAGGCAACAAGTCTCTTCGGGTATTACGGCAGCTACTTCTTGCTGGGTCTGGTTGGACTCTTGTGCTATCTGGTCTGGGAGTCGCATTTGGGATCACACCCGCCCAAAGACGTTCCCAACGTCTCTAACTACATCAAAACGTGTGGGAGATAACAGTGCTCGAAACTTTACGGCCTGGGGCGACCAACAACAACAACACATGAAACAACGGCTCAGTTGCGCCAGAAGTACGAAACGCTGGACCAACAACGCCTCCTCGCCCCTGGTTCACCGGTCCTCCCCATTCATCGGTGAACGCTCCCACAGCTTCGCCGGAAAAAATCGACCAAATCGACAGTAATACAGTTGTCCCAACACCGGCCGGTGTCGCATGAACCATGGCTCACGCAACCACCAACCCCCATCCAGGATCAACAGCCCACCCGCCAGTCGCACAGCCGTCCAACTCGCCAACAAAACTTTCCACTCTTGGGCTGTTTTGTCTCGTACGGGGCGCTCTCGTTTTTTAAGTTGTACTGAAATGAAAGGTTTCTTGAGTGCGCGTTCGGACTACTTCATTGGCTACGCGACGGTTGCCGCCATCGTGGGTTCGGATGGGGCCAAAACATCCCTCGAAGGTTGCGTGGCAAAGATGGTTGTGTTGACGGATGGAAAGAACGCGGCGCAAGTTCTTGCGATCGCGCCTCCGTCTGAGTTCGAAAAGGCCGTCCTTCAGTCAGACAGCTACGACTGGGTGGAAAGGTGGAGACGAGTACGAATCTACCATGCTCCCGATGAGTCCCAGGAGTTCGCCAAGGCCTCAAAGCGAGTTGAGCGCGTCCTGGACCGCATTCTGAAGCAGCATACGGCACACGCGGACCCGTCCGTTGCTGAGTCCGTATTCGAAGAAGCGTTGGTCAAGAAACGTGTGCCGGATAAGTGCGGCGACGGAGACGTCAAGTTAGAAATCGCGGATGTGAATGCATTAGACGCGGATGAATTGGAACACCTGTTGGCGCAGGTCCCAAATGAGTGGAAGCCAATAATCAAGACTTCGGGGCCGAAGGACTATGTTGTTGAGGTCGAAGGCCAGTACATTCACGAAGATACCAGAAGCTGGTGGCTAACACCAACATTTGCCAAAGGTGTGGGTGTGTTTGGTCTTGGAGTTGTAAGCGGTGTGGGGTTGGCGGCGTTGTACTCCTACTTGAACGGATCCCAGGATGGCTACTCCAGTGCCCGTGTTTCAGGGCCAGAGTACACGTACAATCCTACTCCGTCCGATGCTGCAACCCATAGCCCTACTCCGTTGGACGCTACGATATACCACGACGCT